CACCTTTTGATGAGAATATCATTTTCATCTCTATGCACTTCTAGTTTTTAAACTATGCTACATTTCTGTTCTTTCCTGTTAAGAACCATGAGCAATATGTTTTATTTTCCCATCAAAAAGAAGACTTTTAAGGTTTCTGGCTTTATATTTCCTTTATCTAAAACATTATCTTTATAGAGAACCGGGTACAGTGGCACAAGACTGTAGTCCCAGCTACTAAGGAGGCTAAGGCAGTAGGATCTCTTGTGTCTAAGCAACACAGTGAGAGTCTCATAGATAGATCTGGAGGGTTGGAGGAGAGGGAGGAAATGGCCCATACTAGTACTCCAACCCTTCCATCGGCGGCAGCACCAGCATAGGGGTAGTGCTGTGGGACTTGCTTCTTGAAGTCAGAGATTTCAAGGATGGTGAATTGAGGTTTTTTTAGTCGTCATTTTGTTTTTGCATTACTAGGGACTGAACCTAGAGCCTTTACACTGAGCTACATCCCCAAGTCCTTTTCAAAATCATCTTATTTTGACACAGGGTCTAGTTACGTGCCCAGGCTAGCCTCACACTCGTGATCCTCTTGCCTCAGCTTTCCAGGTGGTGGGGATTATAGCCACCATACATGTTTTGTTTTGTTTTGTTTTTTTTCCATTGTAAGGATCTCACTGAAAAAGCATCTGGGAGACAGTTATGAAAGTGAGAAAAACAATTCAATACCAAAAAACAGAGAAGGAAAGATAATAGATGAAGTTTTAGCACATTCACCACTGCTAATTTATATCCAATAAATGGAAATTATGCCAAAAATATAGCCCGACTGGTGCAAATCTATGACAAAATAAGAATATTGGGGCTTTTTTTCCAAGTTAAATTTGTTAAAATTCTGAGCTATCTTCTGTGTATGAGATAAACTGTTACTTGTTGTAAAAATTATATAAATCTCCCCAGATATTAGTTCTGGTGTCCCCAGAGGCAGACCTTGTGATGAAGATTTGAATACAAGTAGTTTATCTAGGAGGTGGCAGGAACTCTGTTAAAGAAACGGGACAGTCAGGCAAGAAAGAAGTCATAAAATGAAGCAGGACCAAACCAGCCACCAGAGTGGTACAAGCTCCATCCTGTGCAGGAGCGCTAGGAAAGGGTGAAGGTAAGAATCAGAACACTCCGCAATGTGCAAAGCTGCTCACCTGTAATCCCAGCTACTCCAGAGGACTTCAAGTTCAAGGCCAGCCTGAGCAACTTAGAGAGGGCTGGAGATGCAGCTCAGCATTGGAGCATTTTCCTGGTTGAGGCAATTCTGGCCGGCCACTTTCTTGAGCAGTCTTGGCCTTTGATAAGAGCTCTCAGATATTTCAAGGTACAGTTCGAGGGAATGGGTCAGTGAGAACAGCTTTTTTTTTTTCTTTAACTGTTCTTACCTTAGCAAAATACTACTATTTATTGATGTTGGTTCCACCTTAATTTTTGTAACTGTCCCGCCAAATAAATTAAAAAACTCTAATTTGAGACTCAGTTACTGCATCAGCCACAGATCATGTCACTGGCAACAGGATTAACTCTAGGACAGGTACAACTGAGTGAGGGGGCAGATTCCTACCAACCCTGCTGAGGACAAAGGATGACTTCAGAACTACCAACAAAACAACCAAGGTTAGCCACCACTGATCTGGCACTCCAAGAAGAGCCTCCAATTCTCACCTTTCTAATCCATCTCTTCTGATATTTTTGGCAAGGCAACGCAGTGGAGGGAGGGAAAGACAGTGTCACATACAGTTGGTAACTGATTTGCTCAATTGCCCTCCTAGCCAGCTGCTTTAGAAACCACCTCTTGAAGCCTGACCAAAGTTGACAGTGACTTCTGGAAAAGCAGTTAAGCATCCCCAGCTCTGCAGGCAGCAGGATAACTCTGTGTTGAAGAAATGTCAGGAGATGCCTCCAACTATATGAAAATATCAAGTAACCATAATTATTATTGGGAGAGGTGGAGGAAAGAATGATTATGAAATACAATGATAAAAGTACCAACACAAAGTGATTAGAAATGTTAAGTAATTCTGTTCTAAAGAACATGGTTCTTATCTGTTTAGCTCATTTGGTAGATGACTAGAATAAGCATCTTAAAAAAAAAAAGAAAAGGTGGCTAATGGCACTCCAGGCCACTGTTAGAAAAAGTGATATTTCTACCCAGTAAAGCAGTTTCCTGATACCCCTGGCCTACCTTCCACAGACATCGCAGGCCAAAGACAGTTTTAGCATTTACTGAACAATTACTAAGGTGGCAAAAACTTTACTCTCATTTAATTCAACCTTAATGACTATTCCGACAACCCTGAGATGGGCATTATTCCCCCACTTAGAGATGAAAAAAAATCTAGACAAAGGAACACAAGTAACTTACCAAGCCTCCTAAGGCTAAGAAGTGGCAGACTCAGTATGAAAACCTAAGCATTGCTGCAGACATCAGCTCTTGATCAGCTTACTGCTTCCAACTCTAAGCCCATTTAGCCTTTCCTTATACTCTTCCGCAAGGTATCAGTGATCCAGTGATCCAAATGTGATTGTCAGTCCAAGTCTCTTACTGTATATTTTAAAATAACAATTAAAAATTAAAAATTTTTCTTTTGAACTTTATTAATCTTGGCACTAATTGCTAAAAATTATTTTTGACCCCTACAGTTGCAATCAAACCCATCAACATAAAAACCTAAGTCACCACAGACATCACTATTAACAAGATGCTCTATTTGTGACAAATGTAAGACTGCTCCTTCCGTTCACAGGACATCCTTTTTTCTCTCACCTCTTGCAAAGCCTTGGACCAGTGGAGTGCCGGAGGAAGTGACAACCCAAAGCAGTGATGGCAAACCTTTTAGAGCTTTCACTGGTAACAGCGCACTGTGGCACATGTGCCAAGGGCCACCACCAATCTAGTGAATCTTTGAGCAGACTTAGGTGATCACTGAGTGAACATGTTTATGGTAAGTGATCATTTTGGTTGAAGGGGGAAATGATGTTTCTTAGAAGAACGCTTATTTTAAAAAATTGCTTCTTGCAACTTGACCCAATAGCTATTTCACCACGCCTTTCAATCTTTAATATACAGAACAGATTTAGGCCAGTACTCAAATAATTCCCTTTGGTTACAACAAATGAGGAATACAGAAGACAGGTGGATTTATTCGTGACTGTTATTTTTTATGATGCTGTGAGAATAATCTGTGTGATGTATTTGAAACATGACACCCCAGTCATCTACATCTACATTGTCAGCTGCCATGAGATGTAAGCAATTTTCATTGGTGAATGTAGCAGAAGGTAAATGGTTGTCTACAAAGGGTTAGAGGCAAAACCCATGAAATGAGATACAAGAATCTGGCAGATCCTGCAAGCTAATGACTTTTTTTTGGTGTGGGGATCAAACTCAGGACCTTGTGCTTGCGAAGCAGGCAGCAGGCTCTTGATCAGTACCTGAGGTCTACAGTTCTCTTTGCTTCTGTCCACATCCTGCCTCTACATATTTAAGACTCTGCTGCCTGATCTAGCCAAGGTACCTAATCCTGCTTGGGTGTCAGTGATTTGTCTTTACTGTGAATCTTTTACCCAAGATGTCTGTAGGATTATTTCTGAGTAGAGAAGGAAGTTCCCCAAGCTTCTCAGAAGTCCTGCTTGCTAATAAACACTCATGAATGTAAGAGATTCTTAGATTGATTTTTCCCCAGGTACCAGGGATCAAACTCAGGACCTTGTGCTTGTGAGGCATGTGGGGTGCTACTGAGATAAATCCTTGGCCCTAGATTTGCTTTTATTTCAGGTAGTGAGGAAACAAGACTTCCTTCTGTAATAGCTGGAGGCCACCTTTCAAATGAGACTGGTGAATGACTAAATTGGCCTACACAGTTTGCAGTGCTATTAAGGAAACTGAAAGCCATTCAACCCTTATGCTATGGTGAGGGTCACCTTTGATCCCCTAGCACTCCCCTTAATGTACAACCCTACTGATGATCTCAAGATCAGTAGATCAATAGTTTTAAAGTGCTAGACATAAAGCAATTCGGCTATTGTAAAGGTCAAAGTTATTCTCTGGCAGTGGTGCCCTTAATGTAGTTAAGAATTTTATATTTTCTCTAAACTTGATTACTTAGAAGACTTTGTTTGCTAATGATTGCACAAGTTTAAAAATATAAATGATTGGACTGGGAGTGGAGCTCCGTGATAGGGTGAGTGACCAGTACATGCAAGGCCCTGAACTCAGTCTCTGATATTTTTGCGGGTAGGGAGGAATTACTCATTGAAATTTTAAATAAACTATTCTATATGCTAGCTCAATAGGGATCCAGGGAAATGCCATCAAGGTTAAATGAAGGGCAATTTGAAAACTAAAGAATCAACCATGGGGCTGGGGGTGTTGTTGGACAATACTGTACAACAAACACATTTGCGAGGTCCTATGTTTGATTCCCAGAATCCAAAACCACACCCAGATAAACACACAGACACCCTCACACACTCTCCACCAACAAGCAAACACACAGACAAACAAGAAAGGCCAACTTGAGCTGTTCACATACGAAAGTTCTAAAAGTAAAACTATGGCAAATATTTTATTTGGTGTTTCATGCTAGGTTGATTTAAACAAATAAAACAACTTTGTTGAACAGAATTTTTTAATAGGATGACTGTGTACACAGACAACTGAGAATAAGGAAAAAAATCCAAATTAATGTTTTGACAAATTAAAATTGTTGCTAAGGATGATATACTTAGATTTAAAAGGAACAGTCCAATAAGATGAATAGTCTCTCATTCAATCTAGGAGCTTAACTAATCCCTCTTTTAACAAAACCAACACATTATACTGGTATAAATCTGACTTTCTTAAACATTCCACATAAAACCACGTATTCCCTCAGTGTTCCCTCTCTTTCTACATTTACTCATTAGTGGTCTCTTAAATGGGAAAAATCAAATCAAACTTATATTAGCAAATGAAAGTGCAAGTTTGTACAGCTAGGCTCAGCAGCAAAAGTGAAGAATAACGACGAAAAGTGAAAAGTGATGGCTGCCCTGCGGCGTGAGGATGCCCGTGGAGCCCCTCGTCCCATTGCCAGTCAACGTCCCATTCATTGCTCTGAAACGAGCAAAACCAAATTCTTTTTTGATTTAAAGAAACACGAAACCCTCTACCCCCCCTCCCCCCATAATTTGTGATCAGGTAAGGCAAAGACAAGTCCCAGCCATCATTCGGGACAGCAGCAACATACGAAGGTCAGAAGTAGCCCTGAACCACCAGTAACATTCTCTCACAGTGACGTCAGAAGGAATTGCATCTCGTAAAGCAAATCTGCAGGGTCCATGCATAGTTCTAATTTATTTAATTTGTTTGGAGAAACTTTATAAATACATGATTTGAGAGGAGAGTAAATTATGTTCTTGCTTTGAAAAAATAAGTATTTTTTTTTCACATTTTAAAAGTTGTTAGCTTTCGTAAAATAAGCTGCAAGAGGAGTATGACAGCTGGGTCCGCAGAATGTCCATGTACAAGTTGCATTTACAAGAACCTGGTAGCCTGCCTTTAATTTGCCTCTACAAATAGAGCTTTTCGCAACAGTATTTAAACAAACAGGTTTAATTTAAATACCTCCTCTATTCACTCTATTTGTAGAGAAAAGAGGTACTTATTTTTCAAGTATTACATTGTAAAAGGTAATTTTTTTTTGCCAATTTTTTATGTTAGGCTTCTAAGAACAAAACAGCTCTGAAAAATCATGCTCAGTCAGCCCGTTTCTTTTAGAGTCAAATGTTCGTCTTTTAAAGAATGCAGAAAAATATCAAGTTGCTAAGAAGGAACACACTAGAAAAAGCCATTTTAAAGTACTGAAGAATAAGGAGCATTTATTTCTTTCTGTTGGCGAAATTATTAGAAAAGCTATCCAGTCTATTGTCATTAGCTGGTTTTAATAAAGTCTTTTCAAAATGATGGTCAAGCAATCTTTAGAAAACTGGAGCAGGGAATGCTCCTTTGTGGCATGAAAGGAATTCCATTAATCGTAGAAACTCTTACTCAATTTCTGCTTTGGTGAATCAGAAGAAATGCTCATATAACTTCTACAAGAGGAGACAGAAAAAGGAACAGATTAATATGACACTTGCCTAAAATCTTATTGAAAGAAAATGATAGTGATATTTTACATTTCCAAAATATCACCATGTTGTTATATACATTGTCTTACATGAGAATAGGTCATTGTCTTAGGATTCACAGCCTTATATTTAGTGAATTCTACTACTTATAGGAAACATGTGGCCTTTCCTTTACTCTAACCTAGGCTATAACATTTACTTTTCTACCCTGTATATATCAATTGTAGGCTTCTCAGAGGTTAGGGATTTAAACACTCAGTTGTCGATTCCTTAGTAACCTGATACTTAGGGCTCCAGGGAAGGAAAGGAAAGTTAAGAACAGTGGGAATGGATCCACAGATAACTGAAAAGATGATTTAATAAGATCCACCAGGAGAAGCAGAAAATCACATGGACCCCCTCCCCCCATGAACTTGTAATATGACAAAGGAGGACACCACACTGGCATATGCCCACAAATATGACATTAAATACTGTTCCTGAAGCCATAAGTATCAGGAAATCAGACCAGAGAGGGACTCTGTGACCTCGTTTTATAGCCCAAGCTCATGAGAGATCTTGTTGGGCTCAATATGATCCTACTTTGATGAACTGTTATTACCTAAATCATAACAAACTTTAAAAAGACAGTAACATATGACCCACGCTGCCAAACCCAAAGCAGGGAAAAATGGCAAGAGAACATAAGGGCAGTCTTCCAGAGTCTGAAGACTTGAGAAAAATGGGAAAAACTCCAACCCCTTGTCAGGTGGGCAGAACTAGGCTGGATGGCCTGCCTGTTATGGGGAGGGGCCTTGTCTGACACGAAGCACCTCCCAACAGCGAGCACTCCTCTGGCGGCAGAGGCGGATGGCTACTCACAGCGTAGTCCACTGTGCGGAATGAACGGGCAGACGAGAGGCCTGAGACAATTCAGCTTCTATGACCACAGTCACAGTGGAGAATGTGGCAATTCATCCCCTCTTGGGTGTCACATATTTCTGACGACCACAGAAGGGAGTTCAAGGTAAGCTTACCTGTGGTCTGTTGTGTTTGAACACCGTCTACCTGAGGCAGAGGCCCAAGTGTCCCTTCTTCATCGAAGGCCAAAATTGGAGTCAAAGGAATTTCTGGGTTCTCACTATTGATGACATCTAATCTTGATGGCTTAGATCCAATGGGTAAGGTTATACTCTCTTCAAAAGTTTCATTCTCCACAGATACTCCGTTTTCATTTGGTGGTTTTTCCAAATTAGGAGCACTGGGGAAAATGAAAAATCAAAACAGAAATGAGTTAGCATTAACATTTATAGAACAATCAAAAATATTTTGCAATAGATTTATTACTTTACAGTAAAAAATTAAACTGATTCATCATACCATTGCTAACAAAAATGGTGAACTACGACATATTTGTATTTTTAGCTATTTAAAAAAATCTAGCCTTGCCATAAAACCTATCAAAATGGACAATTTACTACTTCGAACAGATTCCCATCAATGGAATGGCCCTTAAGCAGGAACTTCCTTCAAGATGAAAGGGTCCTAATTCCTACTGAAGGAGTAAAGTGTCATTGCATATGACTGTGGTGGCACAGAGCATGAAAAGATTACTCCGCAGAGACTTGGTCTGAACACCAAAGAGGCCCAGAGAGGCTATCTCAACTGAAAGCACCCAGCATTAGGGAGACTCCCAGGAGCAGCACCAAAGCCGAGAACTTTTTGGGTTTTATTTATATCAGTGTAAGAAAAAAAGCAGATCGGGTAAGGAAGTGTCTCAAGGCTAAGTAGTTTTTTGGGGAAAGGGGATAGGACGACAGCCGGACACAACATGCTGTCACTAATCTAAACTTACTGTTAAACCATTCACTCTTCACAGAGCCCTAGCGCTTTTGTCCTGCAGTTTAACCATTCACTCCTTGGCCAAGTCCCCACAGTAAATGATCTGCACATAGTTACACAGCTGCCAAGACAGAGCTGCTGCTCTTTTGTCGGGGGGAGGGGACAAGGTCTCATTAAATTGCTTAATCTGGTCTCAAACCGATGATCCTCCTGCCTCAGTCTCCAAGTGCTGGGATTATAGGTGTAGGCCACTATATCAAGTTTTTATTTGGGGGAAGGGATTTGGCTATGTTGTCCTGGCTAATTGCAAACTCCTGTGCTCAAATGATCTTCCTGCCTCAACCTCCTAAGTAGCTAGGACTATAGGCACATGGCGTTGTGCCTGGCTCTAAATACATGATTTCTTGTTTTCTGGTCCGGTGATGTTCTCAATAAGTAACTTTATGAATTCCTTGACTGTTCATATTCTGGCCCTCTTTTAATGTCCCCAGCTTTCCAGAATGCTTGTGTAATTTCATCTATGCAAATTGTTCAAGATCAAACTTTTTTGTTGTTGGGTTTTTGAGAGTATCTCACTATATAGTCCAGGATGGCCTTGAACTCAGTATGTAGTGCAGCACGGCCCTGAACTCACAATCCTCCTACCTCAGGGTCCCAACTTCTGGGACTTGCAGGCATGTGTATATGCAGCAAGACCAAACTTTTATCTTTGCTCTACTTAAATCTTACTCTAACCCCATGTTGATCCTCACCGATTAAATCATGCATAATATCTTTGACCTATTTTGGGGGTGCACTGAACAAGCTATCCAATCTATAATTATCTATAGTTTCTCTTAATACTGTTATTCTCTCCAGCCATATAATGTCAGTACTTTATGTTATATTCTTATTCTAATTTTTTAAAAATGGAGGTCTTGCCATGTTGCCCATGCTTAAGTGATCCGCCTGTCTCAATATCCCAAGTAGCTGGGACTGCATGTCCACTATTATTTTCTATGTTGCAACAAAACAATGCCTATTCATCAAACAAGGGCTAGAGTAATGTTACCATTCATTTTAGTTGAGTGCAGCAGTATGTACACACAACCTTCACACTTTGTTCAATGCTCAATAAATTACCTGCATTCTAATGCCAACTGTTTGAATTTAAGTCACTTTTTCACACTGCCTTCCCTCAATGGTAAAATAAAGCTAATGTAAGTCTAACTTTTCCACTGAAAAAATTTTTTAAGAGAACCTGTATTTTTTGTCTGAATGAAGAAAGTTTACTTTCCTTACCTGAAGAGAAATGACTTTGTGGAATACATTCTAAAGCATTTCTGACTTGTAACATCTTTTGTGGGGGGGGGCACTTTTTTTGTTAATTAAACCTTTAAAAAACTTTTAAGGAAAAAAAAAGATCCTTGTTCTGAATATTTCACAAGGCACTGCGAGGTCTGAAATTTTTTTTTTGAGTGTGAAAGAATATAAAAATGTTAAGAGTGTGATGGTGCTAATTCCCCAAGGAAGGGAGAGGAAGCTTGGTGTTGTATGTGTGAGTGCATGTGTGCACACACATTCACACACTTGAGTGCACACACATGCCTACTTCCTGTTGTTCTCTGTCTGGGTTTTCACACCTATCCTGTCCTTTCCCAATGCCCATGGGTTTTCTGCAGCCAGTAGTAGTTCTGGTTCTCTAGCCAAAGAGAATTTAAGGAGAAGTTCTGGCAAAAGGTAAGAGCAGGGCTGTAGCTCCAAAGCCCTTCTCCCTTGGCCGTCTTCACCCCTGTTATCTTGCAGGCCTGTGTGTGTTCAGTCATAGCAGCAGTGGCCAAACTCAGACATGAGTCACCCGCTGGCTTCATCTCCCCACTTCACGCCCACCTGTTCTTTCCTGTTAGCAATCAGGGAACTCATTGTGCCATGTGCTTTAATGTTCAGGGAACACAGAGACCAGCAGAAACTATGAAAAAAACTAGAGTCACTGGGGTCAGGGATTATAGATCTGCGTGACTTCTTGGACAGCAGTGCCAGCTTTTGAATTCCCATTCAGAAGTCAAAGGTTGGATATAAGGTTCTTGTATATTTCACCCAAATTCTGTTCAGAGAAGGGACAGGGCCACGATCTAACATTCTACGTGGCTATGAGAGCCAGGCTCCTCTTCCTTGACACTTATTAATTATGTTATAAGAAGTAACTTGTATTAAAAGTGATATATCACACTAAGTCACTAAGTTGCCCAGGCTTAAATCTGTGATTCTCCTGCCGCAGCCTCCCATAGTGCTGGGATCAGAAGAGGTGTGAGCTACCACATCTGGCAGGCCAATAGATTTGTCAGGTCACTCCTGTATTTTGAGGTTTATATCTGATACTAATTTATATCTGAACTGCCTATATTGTTAGGTGAAAGAAAAAATAAGTCTATGCTTATCCTTCTCCCAGTAGTCTGATAAGGATCATCTTACACGCATGACAAAGGACAGTTTATCCCTTGGATAAAGATGGACAGCAATAGTAGTGCATTTTGGTTTAACTACAAACTGTTGATTTTTTTCCATGTAGAGAAGGCTAAAAAATCAGGTTTACTATCTATATCATCTTATATAATGCAATGTTTTAGAATCTTATATAATGATTATTTGGTGATTTTGCTACTGACGAGAGCTGGCCACTACAATTTCTTTTTCTTTTCTCCCTTTTTCTTCTTTTTTTGGCAGGACTGGGATTGAATCCGGGGTGCTATACCACCAAGCTACATACACAGCCCTTTTTTATTTTGAGATAGGCCCTTGCCAATTTGCCCAGGCTGGCCTCAAACTTGTGATCCTCCTGCCCCAGACTCCCAAGTAGCTAGGGTAACAGGTGTGCACCTGTAGCTACATAAATTTGTTTTGCTGATCAGACAGAATTATCAGTAGCGTAGTAAGCTGAAGTATGTACTGCCTGTTCTGAATCAAAATAGAATTCCCTCCATGGTGCTTTTCATGCCTTCCAAAAAATCTCTCAAGTCACTGAATTGAACATCAAAAATTATAGCAAGTTGGAACAGACTTTTTTGAAAATCAAACAAAAATTTAAGAAAAATATACCATTTAATATGTATGTTAGGTAATTATAATATTAAATTTATTCAACATAATTGAGAGTTTATTAAGATATCTCAGGAAATTATTCTCTTTGATATTGCAGTACGTTAAAAAAAAAAGCTGCCTGTCTCAGGAAGACAGGAAGAGTAGGATGAAGACAGCAGAAAGCCAATCCAATCAGGCAGGCACCAAAACTCTCCATTGAGGGATTCACAGCAGATCACCATGCAATACCAGAAATGGTTAAAAAAAAAATCTTTCCTTATTTTTTAACTGCTGCCAATTACATTATAGAATATTTGCAGTATAAGTTTTTAGATTAAGAAAACAGTTGAGGGTCTTCAATTTTCTATTGGTAGCAAATACCCTTGTGCTAGAGATTGAAAATTTCATAAAATAATTTAAATAGGTTCCAAAAAATTAAAAAAGTCATAGCTAAAAATTTTAAATACCACTAAAAATATTCCATAAGTTCTCTATTTTAGATTTTTAGGCACAAGTTAAACTTTTAATTTTTTTTTCTCTCATTGAGTTTATTGGTACATTTTAGGTATACAGTACAGTTACATCCATCATTGGGATCTTGTACCTTTACATGACAGGTCTTGGTTCTCATTTTTTTCCCCTTGTCCCTGCCCTCCCTTCACCTCCTCCTCCCCTCCCCATTTACAAACACTTTATTTCCATTTTTACATTTTCTCCTATTTTTTTTCTTTTCCCTTATTCCCCTTCCCCTACCCTTCCCACTTTCCCTACACCTTTAGACCTTTTCTTCCCATTTCACAATGTCAGTTATCTCCTTAGGATCTTATGTACTATTATAGTTTTTCACACCAGAAAAACTATTCGGTATTTACACATGTGTGACTTATTTATTTCACTTAGGAGTATATCCTCAATATGTATCCATTTTCCTATGAATGAATCTAATTTCTCATTCTTTATGGCTGAGTAGCATTCCATTTTATAGAAAAACCACATCTTCTTTATCCAATCTCCAACTGATGGGCAATTGGGCTGTTTCCAAGTTTTAGCTATTACAAACTGTGCCCCTATAAACATGGGTGCACATATATCACTCTGGTATGATTCTTTTAATTCTTTTGGAAAGATGCCCAGCAAAGGGATGGCTGGGTCAAATGGATCCTCTAGTCCCAGCTCTCTCAGGTATCTCCATATTGATTTCCATAGTGGTTGCACTAGTCTGCTCTCCCATCAACAATGGATTTTTTATTTTAAAAAATGTCCTTATGAGGCTGAACTCACAGTGAGTTTGAGGCCAGCTTGCACTACATAGTGAGCTCAAGGTCAGCCCGAACTACATAGCAAGACCCTGTATCAAAAAACAAAAAAGTCCTTATGACACAATTGATACAGATACAAGGGAAAAGAAAAGTACTTATTTGCTCAGCAGTGCTGGGGATTGAACTGAAGGCCTCTGCACTAAGCTACACCCTCTGCCTTTTCCTAAGTGTTTATTTTGAGACAGGCTCTTCTTGCTAAGTCACTAAGTTGACCATGATGGGCTCAAATTTGAGATCCTCCTGCCTTTTTCTCCCAGATTGCTGGGATAACAGGCATGCATTATTATGTCTGGTCCAGGTCATCTTTTACTTATTGTTAGGAATTATTTTGCTTCTTCATTAAGAAAATCTGCTACCATTAAAATATTGGTATCTAAATTACTTTTATTATGGAACAAACTTGTGACTCAGCATCATATATGTCTCAGATTTAATTGTCTTGTGCTATTAAAGGATCAGGATATCCAGGTCAGGTTAAATACATACAAAGAAAACTACCTCCTATAATTTTAATAGTCACTACAACCTCACCATGAAGGCATAAGAAAAATGATATTGAACCTTTCTTAAAAATAGAGTTCTAAGCTCTATCCAAAATTAATGACCCCAGCCGGGCATGATGGTACACACCTGTAATCCCAGCACTCAAGAGACTGAGGCAGGAGGATTGCCCTGAGTTCAAGGCCAACCTGGGATACATAGTGAATTTAAAGCCTGAACACCATAGCAAGACCTTGTCTTAAAAAAGCTGGAAACAAAACAACCACCCAAATTAATGACCCAAATAAAAATCACAATGAAAATAGATCTTAATGTTAAAACTTTGAAATTCTGCCAGGCCCAGGAAATTCTGATGGGGTAAAAACAGTGCTTTGGTGTAACATGTGAAAACAGGTCCCAGTTGTTCGACTCACCTCTCAACGGTCACTTTGGGTTGGTGTGAAGTGACCACATGTGGGCTAGTGCCTGGATCCCCACTTCCGGGCAAGTCTGTCATACACGGAAGTAGAGCTGTCTCTATGTGCAGAAAAAGAGAGAAGAGAGTCACTAATACTCTATCATCAAACCCAACCCCCCAGGAACCACCGTGCTTAGATCATGTTCTGCTCTGTGATTCACCAGCTGTGGGACTTGGAACAAGTTATTTAAATTCTTCCCTCATTTTGCACAATGAATATTGGTACCTATCTCATGAGCTACTGTGACAATTAAACGTGTTAATACATGTAGAGTATTCAGAACAGAGCTCTTCCCATTGTGAGGGATGAAATAAATGCTACTGTCATTTTGGCTTACAAATAAATTGGCTACGGGCAGAAAGTATACACTGAAACCATAGCATCTGATGAAGACAGCAGTGAGCAGACTTGATCGGGTGGATACCAAACATCTCTACAGAGGCACCCAGAGCAAATCATCGTGGATATCGGAAGTGAGAAAAAAGATTCTTGCAAACTCAACTTGTTCTGGTCATATGTAGAATGACAAGGATTTCATAAATGGAAACCTACAAACTCGCTACTTTGTTATTCCATGCGCAATGCCAGACAGAGTCCAGTTTAAGTCAATATTGATGCCCGACCCTCAAATCACAGATAGGGTTACTTAGAAGTCTTACGCCCTTCATACAGGTCAGAGCTCCAGAAAAAACCATGACATTTTATGGTTTCAGCTTGATGAGACAGAATAACTGAAATAATTGCAAGTGAGTGCTATTTCATGACCAAGCATACATTCGATGAAACGGCCAGAGGTCCACAGAGTCTGATAACTGAGGCAAGGAAATAATGATAATTTAAAAACTGCCAATGCTTGCAAAGTGGGTGGCAGCTCACCTGAGGGGAGTTCTGGAGGGGGTGTGAACTTGCCTACCTGGGCACCTGCCCACCCGAGAATTCTCTTTATGGTACTGGTGATACCATTCAGCCCTCAGGCAGATGCCCGATGAGAAAAGGAATATTTAACTTTCAAGCTTCTTTTTTAGCAATTTTTTTTTTTTTTGGTACAGGGTTCTCACTCTGGACCTTGCACTTGTGAGGTAGGCAGCAGCACCACTGAGCCAAATCCCCAGCACCCCTCCTTTTTAGCATTTTTAACTCAAATCAAATTTACTTGAGTGTTGATGAACATGGATCTACCAAGTGACAAATGCACCCCCTTTCTTGCCTTTGTTTAGTCTCAGGTTGAGCACAAAGGTACTGAAAGAATAGGTGGAACTAAAAGGAAGGGGAAAAAAGAAAACAAGAATCAAGAACCTGGCCAGGCACAGACCACAGCCTCAGCCCTCAGGTAATCCTGGCATGGCCCAGTGCACAGCCTCAAGGCTGTTTTGGTGACTTGCTAGTTGCTGCACTTGAGCCCGTACCTATTAGGACCTTCTTGGAGAAACCATGCTAAAAATGCAGTGGAGTTAAGAGGCAACCATCTAGATTATTGTCCAAACAAATATAATTCTGACATCTATAAAAGAGCACACAAATCCCACAATAAAGGATCCATAACATACAGACACAAGAATAGCCTCTATTTTTGTTTTGTTTTTTGGTATCAGGGATCGAACTCAGGACTTTGAACTTGTGAGGCAGATGGAGAACCACTGAGCTCAATCCCTGGCCCTAGAATAGCCTCTACTGACATAAAACCAAACACCAATCATGATTTACACCTGACAACCCCTAGAATTTACAGGGAATGTTCCTTCATGTAATCATTTGATTTGATCTTCAATCCAGCCCTGTGAGGTACTCTACCCTTTGGGTTTTTTTGATTTGTTTTGTTTTTTTACTGGGGATCAAACTTGGGCGCTTAAGCTTACAAGGCAGGCGGCGGAACCACTGAGCCAAATCCCTGACCCCTCTACCCTTTGTTTTTAACAGAAAAAGAAACAACAGTATGGCTGGTCCTTTCTTTTCAGATTGATACTGTAAATAAGAGGACTGAAGGCTGAGCTATTTACCAGTCATCTGGGTGCACAGTCGCAGATACCATGTGGGATTGTGGGGAATTAGGAGGTGGTGAGCTGGGCCCCAGCTGTCAGGGAATGAGCGTGCCCTGGGGAGAAGGACTTGTCAGTCTTGTTCACAATGAATCCCAGAACCTTCTGCAGTGCCAAGAGGAAGCATCCTCTATCTCCTAAGACTGCAGTGGAAATTAAATAAGAACTATATGAAAGGTAAGCCAGGCGTGGTGACACATGCTTGTAAGCCCCAGCACTCTGAGATTGCAGGGTTGCCAGGTTTGAGCCCAGCCTTAGGCAACTTAGTGACTTAGCAAGATCCTGCCTCAAAATAAAAAATAAAATAAGGTCAGAGATGTTGCTCTGTATGAAAGCCTTGGGTTCAATCCCTGTATCCTCCCTGCCTCCCAAAAAAGTATATGAAAGATATACCTGATGCAAAGGGCATTTAATCAAAATTAACTGGATTGGAGTAGTAACCTAAGATGAATTCCATTTTTAAAAAGAAATCACGAAGAAACTAGTAATCTCAAACACTGTAACATGAACAACTTCCAAATAAATTTCAATACATTTTCTATTTTATCTGTACTCTGAAGTCAGAGTTAAAAGAAATAACTCTTAAATCTTTCTTCTGAGAAATGCCATAAAATGCAAATTGTCAAAATGTGTACATTTAAAGGCCCTCAGAAAAAATATCAAAGGCAGTTTCACCTGAGCTTGAGCCTGGGAGCAGCTCTCCCCACCCTTACCACGGCCCTTTGAATATCCTGAGCTCCACAGTGAATCCAAGAATTTTCCATGTCAACTGATGATAGAAATACCTGTTGCTCTAGCGGGAGCTCCCTTGGCTATGTCACCATTTCTCTGGTCAACGGTTTTCTACCAAAAAGAAAAAAAAAAAAAAAAAAAAGGCTTTAAAAAATTTAAAAGTGAAAGTAAAGAGGGTTGAGATTGCTTGCCCAGGGTGCCAAGGGCCTTAGGTTCAAGCCTCAATGGTGGGGAGGGGGGAAACGGGAGGAAGTGAAAGCAAAAAGTAAATGCCACCCAGGGTAGTTAGAAAGCAGCTCTCTTAATACCTTCTCTGCAGTTTCTGTCCTCCTGGTTCTCTTCATAATCTCCTCAAGACGCTGCAAAACAGGATGAGGATCAGATACAGAGAGTAAGTCAGGGACAAAATAAGTAGCAGGGTCAAAGCAGCAGCACGTGTGTTTTGGGGAAAACCGAATTCAGACTGCTTCATCTTAAAAAGTGGGGTTATTCATAAAGGATGGGAGCAGGGTGGGCTTTGTGAACTGGAAGCAACTGCTTGGGCAAGGCTGAAACCTTGGGCACGGTTGCTTTGGAGGTGATTATTACTAAGGGGGTTCCTTATCCGGAAAGGGCAGAGCCTATTACTGATGGCCACGCTGGTCTCTCGGGATCTCCTGGTCTTTGGGTGGCTTCAGATCTAGAAAGAACAAAAAGTGCAGTTCTCTCCCAGATTCTGCCTGCGACAGCTACCTTCTTCCTCTCCAGACGCTCCTGCTCTTCTCTCTGGAAGTGTCTCTCTCGTTCCTGCCGGACCCTCTCTGCTTCCTCACGAACCCGGGCTTCTTCCTCCTTATGAAAACAAGAAGCGGTGTCAGTTTGGTACACACGAGGAGCAGGGGTTGCTTCTCCAGCGATCGACCCGTGAACGCCACACTTGGCACTGCCAGGGGCCTGGGCCCGGGCGCACCTGCTTCTGGGCGCGCTCCATCTCTGCGCGCTCCCGCTCCAGGAGCAGCTGCTCCTCCTTCTCCTGGGCTTGCTCGGCCTCCAGCCTGCGAGCCTCCTCCTCGCGGCGGGCTCGCTCTTCCGCCACCCTTTGAGCCAATTCCTCTTTCTTCTGTCTGGGGAAAGAAAAAGCAAAAGACACGCGGGGGATGTCTAGAAGAGAGGCCTAGTCTTTGGGCACTGTAAGGAGAATTCATTCACAGGTCTGGCAGAAATGCCCGCACGGGATGTGCTCAACATGTTTGGGGACAAAATGGGAAGTCACCCTTTACTTCTGATCCTCCTCTCCCAGCTTCTATGCAGCGTGTGGGGAACAGAAACAACAAGGAACCACTGATATTTTGCAGGACAGCTTGCTTTTTCAAAGGATCTGCGATTTAACTACATATCTTTAACAGCTGAGACTTGCTGGGCGTGTTACTGCACGCCTGCAATCCCAGCTCTCTGGGAGGTTGAGGCAGGAGCATCACAAGTTGGAGCCTGGCAATTTACTGAGACCCTGCATCAAAATAAAAAAGTAAAAATGAGCTGGTGATATAGGTGAGTGCAGGACCTGGGTTTAATCTCTACCACTTACTGAAAAAAGCAAAGTAAAAGAAATATACTAGGAAATAGGGAGATAGAGCTGTGAAAGCAAAGGGGACCAAGATACAGGGAGAGGAGAGGATGAAAAAAGAATTAAGATGTTTTAGGTACACGTACCAACTCTCCAAGAGCAATGTGATCATTATGTACTGCAAACATGTACCAATAGAAATAAAAAAGTAAAGCTTAAAATGTTCAAAACTTTCAAAGAAAAAATCAAGCCTGAGACTTGTATAATCCAAATGATGTAAATTTTTAGTGACAAAATTGAAGCTCTCCACCCTGAAAGGAAATCTTGTTAAATAAATAAGGTCATGTTTTCTCCAGGAACAGGAAGGAGACGGACCATACAAGGTCTCTAATGGCACAACACGCAGGGCACATCCAATGCGGTGGCCCAGCACTGGGACTCAGGTCCTTCCCAGAGGGGCAGCTCTGTTTGTCTGAAGAACAATTATATCGCCATTAGCCTTATTAGACCCAGAAGGTGACCAATTAAGCAAACTGTCCCTAGCATACTGTCTGGAAATCGTGGAGCATTTAAATCTCTCACACAGATACTCTTGAGTTTTACCTTACAGCTTTAAAATGGTAATGATAAAGCTAATGAGGAAAGCTGGAGATTGGAGATACAGTAACTGAAAACAGACATGCAGAACTGACCTCCCCAGTGATTATAACCCTGTGAATATGTGTGCGCATGTGTGTGTTTGTATGCATACCCATAACCTCCTCACATGTTTCAGGACTGCTCAGAGCCTGGAAAGGACTTGCCCAAATGCACATCATACTGAAAACTGTAAGACTGAATGCAATTTTGTGAGATGGGGGTCTCGCTATATAATTCAGGCTGGCCTCAAATTTGCAGCAATCCTCCTGCCTCGGTGTCCCAAGTGCTGGAATCAGGCGTGCACTACATGCCTGGCTACATCTTTCTTTAAACCTTCCTCCATCAGTGCTGCACCATCACTAGCAAGAAAATGAAACTGAAAAAAACAATTTTTTGGTCAAAGGCACACTAGGTAAGCTGATTCTGAAACCTTCTCTTTGGTCACAGCTGCCATCCCCTCCTCTGGATGGAGGACTTTATGCAAGGCATCACTGGTGTCATGTCACTGTCACCCCTTTACCTTTCCAGCTCTTCCTTCTCCCTCCTCTCTCTTTCCTCCTTCTCTCTCTGCTCTCGGGCCAGCCTCCTCTTCTCAGCCAGCAGCCGCGTGGCCTCTTCTGGGTCCGTGGTGCCTGCAGAGGCTTTGGGAGCAGCACCGGCAGTCACAGGGGGTGGTGTGGCAGCGACAGAGGCTGCAGCTGGAGCTGAGGCTGGGGCTGGAGTCGGAGCCTGCGCTGGAGTAGCTGTACAAATAGGTACAAGAAGAAACCCAACTGGAAACAAAATCCAAAGAACAAAACAAAAACTAGCATTCTCCACACATGGCCCAGGCTTAGAATTACTCATTATCAAAGAAAAGGGAATGTTTATTACTGCGTGTTCTCATGGTTTCACTATATTCTATCTGTAACCAAGCAACAGATAACAAAAAACTGTGGGTGTGTGAGATCTCCAACATAGCTCACACTGTCACCACATCTTATTTTAATAGCAGTCAAATCAGTTAACAATATCTAGCACATGTGGACTGAGTAGAGCGCCTCGTGTTGATTCAGAAGCAAAATGAAGATGCGATCTTTTGTTACTTTTTAAGAATTCCTGCTCTTTGGTGACTATTTGTTATTATGACACTAAAGCCTTTCTCTGACTGTCCTCAGCATCCACGTCACAGGCTGACGGAGGCCGGGAAGGGACACCCTTTCAGACAGAAGCCTACCCAGAGCTGTCTTCAGGTCTGGGATGTGGGGAGGCCATGGCCTGTTCAGGGGCATGTGTGTGGCTAACACATCCGGACTCCACTCAGGCTTGACACCACCCAGCCAGACACAAGCAGAAGTTCTCTGGCTTCAATCAGAGGGGAGCTGGTACAGGAGGGCGCCCCCCACTCTTGTGACTGATCCAGCACCCGGGAGCTCTAAGTGCCTGGCCACTCCCAACATCCCAACATTCCCCCCTACATCTCTATTTCTTTTCCCATAGAGTTTTCTTTACGATCATGCTCTCCTTCATGAAAGCAAACATTGGATTCTTCTACTCTCTCAACATTTTCAACTGTCTTGAATCAACTATTCTTTCTTTGCCTCTATCCTTGATGTTCAGGATGTCTTAAACAGAAAAATTTTGAATGAAGACAATTTTCAACAAGAAAATAAACTCCCAGCTCTGAGTGACAGCAGATTCCTAAATAGAATCTGGTTAGCTTCACAGAACCACTGGGTATTCTGGGAAAACATTCTGACCTCTGTCAAGCACACAGTGTAAGCTAATGGTCTTCAAACTCTCGTGTGCTCAGAATCAAGTCACAGTACTTGTCAGGGTTCTCGGACTCACCACCTCCTTCCTATTCTGACCCAGCCAGTGTGAGGTAAGGCCAGGGCTCAGTATTTTTAAAAATCCCTGGAGGTAGTGGTTTAAAAATATTTCTATAGGGCCGGGATTTAGCTCAGTGGTTCTACCACCTGCTTCACAAGTGCAAGGACCCAAGCTCGATCCCTGGTACCAAAAGAAAAAAATTTTTTTTTCCATAAATTCTTTGAAAATTCTCCCTCCAAAAGGAGGAGACTGACTGCCTATCCTTGAGCATCAATTCAATCTTGTGATTTCTCATAAGCAGAACATGACAGAAATGTGGGCATGTGACCTCTTGAGATTTGACACATGGATTTCTCCTTATTCTCTCTCATCCACTCTGAGGACAGCAGAGCAAGCAGATTGTGAGTACAACAAGCAACAAAGTCTGTATGTCACAAAACAAGGGACATCTGCCAACAGCCATGTGCAGCAGTCACTTTCTGCTGAGTCTTTTTTTTGGGGAGGGGCAGGGTTTTGTTATGTATTTTAGGCTAGCTTTGAACTTACTACACAGCCCAGGCTGGCTTTGAACTCATGGTGATCCTCCTGCCTCAGGCACCTGAGTGCTGGGATTACTAATGTGCATCACACCTGGCTACACCCCTCAGGGTTTTGGGATGACTGTAGCCCTGGCAGACAGCTGAAATACAATCTCGCAGGAGACCGTGAGCCACAACTGCCCAGCTACACTGTTCCCAAATTCTTGACCCAATAATCCGTGTGCAATAAGAAATGTTTTAGTGTCTCAATCTTCATAGTAGCTATGAAGATTGGACTACTCTGTTATTGTCATTGTTATGGCAATAGATAACTTGTATAATACACGATTTGAACTCCGGCACTCTGAACACAACTTTTTTATGAAATGCTGGACTCAGTAAAAGGACTTGGGATCATGTCTGAATTAACAATGCTATGGGTCCAACAATGGGCTTCTAGATGTATGGATTGTAAAGAAAATTACAGTTAAGAAAAGGTACTAATTCTTTGGGGAAGATACCTACCAGGGGAATAGCTGGGTCAAATGGGACCTCCAATCCTAGTTCTTTGAGGCCTCTCCACACTGATTTCCACAGTGCTTGCACCAGTCTACACTCCCACCAGCAGTGGAGAAGGGTTCCTCTTTCCCCACAGCCCCTCCAGCATTTGTCATTGGTTGATTTCTTGAGAGCAGCCATTCTTTCTGGGGTGAGGTGGAATCTCAGTGCAGTTTTCATTTGCATTTCTCGAATGACCAGTGATGTTGAACATTTTTTCATATGTTTATTTGCTATTTCTACTTCTTTGTCTGAGAAATGTTTGTTCGTTTCAGATGCCCATTTTTGGATTGGGCCTTTAAATTTGGGAGTTCCGATTTTTTAAAGTTCTTTATATATTCTAGATTGTAGAATTTTGTCTGAGTGCACCCATGTTCATAGCAGCACAATTCATGATAGCTAAAACTTGGAAGCAACCCAATTTGCCCATCAACAGGAGAATGGATAAAGAAGATGTGGGGTTACTAAATAAAACGGAGTACTACTCAGCCATAAAGAATGAGAAACTAGAGACACTTATAGCTAAATGGATGCACATTAAGCATCCTCTTAGATACTCCTAAGTGAAATAAGTAGGACACACGTTTAAATACTGAATCATTACTCTAGTGTGAGAAACTGAAAGTGTACATAAGGACTAAAAGGTATAATAGATAATGTGAAATAGGAAGAAAAGTTGCAAAGGGGAAGGGGAATTGGGAGGGGAGGGGAAAGGGAAGAAGGGAATGGAATTAATATGAGAAAATGGAAACAAAGTCTTTGCAGATAGGGAGGGAGGAAGGGGTTAAAGGGAGGGCAGGGAAATGGGGAAAAATAAGAACCAAGATAGGTTATGTAAAGGTGCAAATTTCCAACGGTCAATGTCATTATATTGTATACCTTAAATGTACGAATAAATTAATTTTTTAAAAAAGAGAAAAGGTCCTAAAATGAGCCTCAGAAAAGAAAAGCTAATAAAACAATGCCCGCGAAAAAGAGCAAGGATGGAGAGCAGCGAAGGCCGCGTCCCAGCACAAGCCGGGTCATCCCCACCTGGGTCGGCTGCGGGCTCCACAGGCGGCGCCTCTTCCACTTCAGCTTCCGCTACCTTCACTAGCGGTGCTCTGCCCCTCAGAGAGGGCTCGCTGGCAACGCTCTGACGCTCCTTCTCCGGCTCTTTCTTCTCGGGTTCCACTCCGGCTTCTTTCTTACCGGGGCGGATGTTGCCAGGGGATGGGGGCCGGGCCTGGGCTGCGGCAGCTTTGACTGAGCCAGGAGGTAAGGAAGACGCCGGTCGGGGTGTGCCGGGCAAGTGCGGGAAGGACTTGGATGGGAGCCTGGGTGGCAAACAACGCGGAGACGGGAGCATCAGAGCAGGTCGTCCCTCTCAGGACGACAATTTATCGAAAAGCAATGCAGGTAGCTAACTAACGTGCATTTGTCTTTTCTGTAGTAGACGCAGAAATCCTACGTTCCTGTTTTTCTTTGCCTTAAGGCAGACTGTTGAGTCAGACGTGGTGGTGGTTCAGGCCTGTAATACCAGCCACTTGGGAAGCTGAGGTAGAATCATTACAAGTCGGGGCCACTTATCAAGACCTTGCCTCAAAATATAAATTAAATTAAAAACGGCTGGTGATGTAGTACAGAGGGGGGGGTGAGGGAGGGAGGAAAGGGAACAGAGGGGAGCGGGGGTGGGGGGGAGCGCAAGCGAGCGCTATTATTCCCTAAATCAAGGCCAAGCTTGCTGTGAAGACAGAAGCTACTAATCACCATGGGGCCCAAGCAGCCTTGTGTACTGCACTCACCAGAGTCGGGAGGAAGCTGGCGATCTCGCTTTGGGATTAGCTGGAGATAGAGCCCTTCGGACACCAGACATGAGGTGGAAGGGTACATTTTCTCTGTCTCTTTTATGGCCCTAAGTTCAGAGAAAATAATTAGATTTTTCCATGAGTGAGCTGATCACATTTCCAGTATTCGACAGCAGGACTATAAATCATTTAACAGGATTTTACAAAATTTCTAAACTACCCCCACAAGGTCCTTGTTAGTTTAGAACAGCATAATTGAATTAACACAGGTGTTTTTGAATGTGTGATTTGGATATTTGTTTAAAGAAATACACTTGAGACTTTTAGAGAGCACTTATACTTTGTGTCTGAAATTACCTGAACAAAATCTCAGTATGGTTTATTCCCCACAAATGTTAAAATAAAGATCACTTCTGTTTTTTTAAAAACTTTTAATTAAATGCTTTTCTCTTTAATTCATAACTTTTTTCATCTCAAAGCATAGCATATCTTTTTTTTTTTTTTAGTTTAATAATTAAAAAATTTAGAGCCAGGCGTGGTGGCACACGCCTTTAATCTCAGCACTTGGGAGGCTGAGACTAGAGGATCGCTGTGAGTTCAAGAACAGGCTGGGCTACATAGTGAGTTCCAGGTCAGTCTCAGCTACATAGTGAGACCCTGTCTCAAAACAAAACAAAACAAAACAAAATTTACACATCCGCTATTTCTGACATTAATTCATTTTCTCCCTATATGGACATTATAGAAACATTCCTTCTTCAGCTGATGTTCTCTAAGGAAAGTCAGGTTCAGGGTGAGCAAATTTAGGTTTTTATACTCCTCTGTATCAGGGGAGCAAGAGAAATCTGAGGATAGGCTAAAAGAGCAGCCCTTCCCTAACTGCCAGCTAGGAATTCAGCCTGCCAGACAGCACCCTTCCTAGTGGAAATGAGCAGACAGAAGCCCGGAGAAACCTTCTGAGAGTCCAAAATCAGCCCAGGTGCCACTACGCAATGCGGACAGAAAACCAGACCCATTCCAAGTACTGGAGCATCTGGAACTTTCTGTCATGTTCTGGGATGGGAATGGAGCCTGCTGGAGGCACTCAGGGAACACCTGCCAGAAAGCAGACCGGAAAGATACAAAAATACTATCTGGTCACAGGTCAAAAGAGCTCTGGTAACGCAGTCTTTTTTCCTTCCTTTTCTCCCAATGCTCAAGCATCAGTTCTACTTTGCCTTCCCTTTTATGCCCTTGAATGTCCCATCTAATTGCTTCTCTCCATCTTCCTTAGCAGCATCCTAGTTGACTGCCTGGGTCATACGTGGGGAAAAACATCTAAGTGTCAGATAATACGGACTCACTGGAGCTTCTACATAGAGGGATGCACAGGGCAGGAAGGAGCAGCACAAAGTGGGTGCCAGTTCTACCCCATCTCTAGGTACATGACCACGCTCTGTCCCTATCTCTGATGCTGGCAGGAGGTGGGGCCTGGCCGAGCAGGTGTAGTCTTTGGGTGGCAAAAGTCATCCTATGGAACTTCCAGTCTAGTAAGCAAGTTGGCTAATATGCCTCCGGAAGGTCTGTCCCCAGGATGGAAGACCCAGGGCTCCTCCTAAGGGAACTCGGGGTAAAGAACCCGAGTAGTCTTGTTGGTTCTTTTTTTCTCAAAATATTTTGATTTGGCTGACAGACAAATCAGGAGAGATCTGAATGGGAAAGACAATTGTGAGTAAAGAATATGGGGATGACTTTCCTAATCTGTGCTTTGATGAAACAGGGTCCAGGGGAGATGGGGATGTAGCCCAGTGTAGACTGGGTAGCATATGTGAGGCCCTGCACTCTACTCCCAGAAAAACAAAAGAAAACAGGAGAGAGAAAAAAAAAAAAGAAAAAAGAGAGACATGGAAAATGGAATGGCCCTGCATAAAAGAGACAGTCTTTGTTTTATCAGAATGCCCATTACTTTGTAGTCTCCTAAAAGAAACTGATCTCCTTTAACTACCTATGGGCTGGGAAAGCAGGAGAGGAATGGTTTGGGAAAATACTAAGTACTTGAGATAGTATCACCCAAGCAAGTTGAATTTGTTTTATCTCCTATGTCTATTCACCATTCTTAAATCCACAGTTCATTTGGGTATCACCTGGGTAAAGGCACTCCTGGTTTTCATCTGTATCTGAGTTAATGCCCTGTAGTCTGTACAATCCTCTTTCCTTCTAACATTGTCTAAAATGCTGAGGGAAACTTTACAATATTGAAAAAGAAGAACAAGGCTGGAGGCCTCATACTTGTAGATTTTAAACCATATAAAAATATATATCACTCAAAACACTCAATGACCACCATATAGACCAATTGAATAGAATAGATAGCCCAGAAATAACTACTTGGGAACATGGTAAAATCCTAAGATCAAAGAGAAAAGAATGCCCTCTTCAACGAATGCTGCTGGAAAAACTGGATATCTGCAAGAAAAAGAAATTGGACCTTTTCCTTATATAACATACAAACATGAACTCAAAGTGGATTAAAGACCTAATATATGACTTAAAACCACAGAACTTCTGTAGAAAACAGAAGTGGTAAACTTCATGTCATTGGATTTAGTGTTGATTTGTTAGAATAACAAAAGCATAGCCAACAGTGTGAAAAACAGACAAACAGAAAAACATCAGACTTAAACATTTCTATTCATCAAAAAACACAATCACTCCTGGAGGCTGAGGCACGAGGAACACAAGCTCAAGTCTGACCTGGGCAACTCAGTGATTTAGTGAAATTGTCTCAAAATAAAAACTAAGAAAAGGATTGGGGATACAGCTCAGTGCAAATGCTCTAGGTTCGGCTTTCAAGACTGCAAAAAAGAAACAACAACAAAAAGACAGGACACAGTAAAAGAAAGCCTGTGAAATAGGAAAAATATCTTCAAGTCATACATAGGAGGTTAATATTAAAAAAAATGACTCCTACAATTCAATAACCAGTAACCTCATTTAAAAAATGGGTAAAAGACTTTAAGAAACATTTCCCACATATGAAATACAAACTCCCAACATACCCATGAGAAGCTTGCACCATCACCGCTCACTAGAGAAATGCAAGCTGAATGTACTTCGTCAGATGAATGCAAACCCAAAATGTGATAGGAATGTACAACCACAGTAAGCCAAGTAACTTTTAAGAATATGGTACACGGTGTATTAACTATTGTTATTCTCTAATTATTGGGTTATGAAATTTTGATTTATTTCTTCACAGAAGAGAGAGTACTTATTTATATTTTCTTCAGCAATATCTACTTGTATTACATTAAGAAAAACTAAAGTTGCTGAGATGATTCAAGAGGGAAAGGTTTTCTTTTCTAAATATCCAGTTGGAAGAATTATGTATCCAAATTTAAATTTTTTTTTACTTCACATGCATAAATTAAATCAAAGTTGATGTACTTGAACACTTGCTAAATAAAATTATAAAACTTAAGAAAACAATAGTTGTAGGCATTAAAAATAAAGCAATGTGAAACATTTTCATAAAAAATAAATTTTCAGGGCCAGGAATTAAGCTCAGTGGTTCCACTGCCTGCCTTGCAAGCGCAAGGTCGTGAGTTCGATCCCTGGTAACAACAACAAAAAAAATAAAATAAAAAATAAAACTTTTTTTCATGCTTCATCTTTAAAAGAAACACAGTGAGTTATCATTTCACATGCACTAAGACTTGTATTTAAAATAAACCAGAAAATAACACATGCTGGTAAAAATGTGGAGAATGAGAACCCCTTGTGCTTTGGTAGGAATGTAAAATGGTTCAGTAACTATGGAAAATAGTATGGAGGTGCCTCAAAAAACTAAAGTATAGCTACCATATCATCCTGCATTCCCACTTCTGGGTATATATATGTCTGAGAGAATTGATTGCAGTATCTCCCAGAGATACTGTGTACCAATGTTCATAGCGGCATTATGCACAATAGCCAAAAGGTAGAAACATCCCAAATGTACCTCATCGGATGAATGTAACTCATCAGATGAATGCAAAACCAAAATGTGATATATACATACAATGAAATATTCATCCTTGAAAAGGAAGATGTCAGGCATGGTGCTGCACACCCGAGATCCCAGCACTCTGGGAGGCTAAGGCAGGAGGATCTCAAGTTCTGAGTTTAATCCCTACTACCAAGCATAACACCACCACCAAAAACAGGAAAGAAATTCTGACATGCGCTTCCACGGGTTTGAATCTTGACAATCTTATGCTAAGTGAAATAAACCAGTCATAAAAATTTAATTATTTCATGATTCCACTTATATGCGGTATCTAAAGAAGTCATAGGCACAGAAACAAAAAGTAGGATGTTACTGCCGGGGGCAGAGAGGAAAGACGAGGAAATAGGAAGTAGTTTAATGTGCACAGAGGTTGAGCTGTGCAAGATTTTAAAAGTTCTGGAGATTGGCGGTGTTACGTGAACATATTTGACACTGAACTAAAAAATGACTGTTTCTTAAAACCACAAACATATTATTGTCATTGTTGTTTGGAGGGAAGGTCTGGCCCTAAATTCACAATCATCCTGCCTCAGCCTCCCAAGTGCTGGGATTACCAGTATGTGCCACAATGTCTGGCTCAGCATTTTTTTTTTCTTTTAAGAGTACGAAAAATTTGAGAGAATGAAAGCTTCTATCTTAAAAGAGACAGAAGGAGGACCAGAAAGTGTGTTGCCCAGCATTTTTTCAAAATTAAAAATTCATCATGGCCTAGTGGTCCAGGCCTATAACCCTGGGAAACTGAGGCAGGCAAAGTCTGGCCTGGACAACTTAACAAGTCCTTATGTCAAGATAAAAAATTAAAAAATGGGCTGAGGATAGAGTTCAGTACGAAGGTCCTGGGCTCAATCTACAATATTAAAAAAGAAATCAGCGTGTCAGTGTCGTTTGCCTCTTTTTGAGTGCTCAGTGTGGATGGTGACTACTGAATTCCATGTCACAGCTCCAGGTTCTGGCTTAGGTTTGATCTAAATGTTTGGCTGCAGGAGGTAGAAAAGGGTAAATGTCTACACAAAGAAAGAGGAAGGCATTAAGGAGAGGCCAACACCTACAACAAAGCCCAGGATGTGGGATGACAGACCCCTCTCATTTACTGTTAGCCCAGGGGCAGCCTTCAGTTTCTCTCCAAGAAGCCTTCAGAGCTGATCCTCTTCTACTGCCTTTTGCTCATAGTGAGAATCTCTGCTGCACCCAGAGGCTAGTGAATCCAGTTTTAGAAGAAGCCACGGTGGTGGTGTACACCTGTGATCTTATTTGGCAGGTGGAGGCAGGAGGATCCCAGGTATAAGGCCAGCTCGGGCAACTCAGTGAGACCTTTTCTCAAAAAATAAAAAGCACTGGGTATGTGGCTTTGGTGGTAGACTCCCCTAGGTTCAATCCCCAGTACTGTAAAAAACAAGAAACCACTCTGCAGACATCAAAGGCAGTTTTCACCTTTGGCTTAGAGCACTGCAGGTCTGATGAGGCTTGTAAGAAAACTGCTTGTAGGCAAAACCATCAAGGGCTCTCAAACCCTCAAATTATCCTCTAAGCAAAATCCTTTTAAGCACCCATGAGTTTTATACATCTGAATTGCTCTTGGAAGATAAAATTAAAAAAACAAGTTCTAGCCCTTCATTTCAAGGGCCACACTATTATCATGGGAGAGAGGCGATGAGATCTGGTGGATGGGTGAGTCCTTTAAGACTAAAGTACAGGGTCCAAAGGCCATAGAACAACATCTTCATCTTTCAACAGAGGCAAAATAAACACACAGTTTAAAACAAAGATGAAGAAAGATTCCCGGAGACATACAAATTACCTCACTGCATTTACAGCATGATGATTAAGGTTAGCTCAGCTTCCTTGCCAGTAATAACAAGTACAAATTACATTTTTCACTTGCAGAACTTGAGTGTGCAATACAGCACAATAGCCTTTTAAAGACTGGTTATTTAGCAAACAACTCATGTTTTTGGAATATTTTTCCAATATTTTGGAATATTTTAAGATGTGGGCTTTGACAGAGATTAGCTAATAATAAGTAGGATCAAAATTCCTCATCTTGATTTTTAGTGACTCACAGTTAAGAGTCTGGCCAGCTTCTGGATATGACTGGGATAAGCCAGCCACTCGTGTATGCTTGAAACAGTATTCATCTTCCAGTTCAACTTTTTAGAAAGTGCAAAATCCCCAACCTAAGAGGAAGGGTGTGTCGGGTGGGGGGCAGCATTGCCCAGTGAGCTACATTGGAGAAGGGTGGCATGGTGGGTGTTGCGGCTGCCCTGTGTCTCATCACATCGTACCTCGGGCAGTGTCCACGCTGTCCCAGGCTTGCCGGGCTGCTCCTGGCTGCTACTCACCATGGTGCCATGAACAGTCCTCCTGCGCGCAGAGCCCTCGGGTGGTGTGACAAAGAGTTTTGGTCGATCCACTGGATTTCTAGAGTGTGCAGCTTTGTAGGGCATGATGATGGGGCTGCAAGATGCTGAACGAGGACAAATGGGGATAACTAGGGTGCAGATGATTGGTTTTACACACAAGAGTGCCAGAGGAGCAGTTGAAGAAAGCCAAAAGCAGGTTCAGGAAAAGGAGCAAAGCAGAGATAGAGAGAAAAGTAGGAAGATGTTATTACCTAAAGGTGCCCAGAACCACCACGCTCAACTCTCCTCACATCCTGTGAGTCTGAGATGTGTCCAAAAGGAAGGCATGTCCAAGTAAAAAATCCAGAATATAAAGCTAGCTATTTAAATACTGATTGAAGATACAGTTGCAATCCAATAATTATGGACAGCAATGGTCTTATATTCCTATAAACCAGTGGTTCTGGTAAAATGCAACATTAGTCATATGGGATAATTTTTATATGAGGATTGGTTTATGATCAGATTTTTCTTAGTTAGCTTTAAGACGTTCTACAAGGTGGAAAGAGAGGAAGCGTGCAGGCAAGCAAGATACACTACAAGTATTTCAAGAGTCAAGTTCAAAAGCCAGTGGAGAAAAAAGCAAGCACATTTTAAAAATGTTAAATGACCAAGTCTTACCAAGTGTTAAGACTTGTTAGAAGTATAAGAAATAATTCCCAGAAAAGAATTCTGTAAATGTTTTATCTATTTTTAAAGGCAAACCAATGCATGCTTTCCCAAAAGCCAAGGCACTTGATAGTTCAAAAAAGCAACAGTAGAACGTATGGGGAGATGGGATGTAACTATTTAAAATGATGAAAAGAACATAAATATGTTAGGGTTACTAAAAATAAATTTGGATCATGAATAGCTTTTGCAGTTTTACTCAACATGGATTTTTTTTTTTTTTTTTTTTTTTAA